TTATATAAAAAATATACAAATTACATATAAAAAATTAAAATTATAGCGAAATATTTTATTAATACACAATGCTTCTGAATAATAATAATGATTATTTTAATTAAATCTCTTAATAATAATAATGAGAATTTTAATTAAAATAGCCTCAATAATAATAATTATTATTATTACTTTAATTAAATCTATCTCAATTTGTTGTAGAGATATCCACAATAAGTTAGCAATGAGTTGATATACACTGGAATAATTAAATTTCGAGACCTTTATATAAAAAATTTATTTTTAATCGTAAGAACTACCATTAGACAGTTAAAAAGTTTCAATGTAGTCACTACCTAACTCGACACACTTAGTTCAATGTTTCCGCCATTGCTCAAAGCAGCTCTGATAATCCTCTGAAGCAAGTCTTTTCAAAATTTGGATCATGTTTTTTTTTTGTCATCTGTATCTTCGAAACGTTACTCTTATGCATAGCTGACTCTCTGTAGGCTTGTTGAATCATTTGTTATGTTTCTGTTGGCGACTTCTCTAATTTAATATTGGCGCGTTGTCAAGCGTTCCTTCCATTACACCGATTTTTAAACAAAATTTTGTAACATAATTTCGCGTGACTGCATCTTATTAACTATTGAATCTGTAATCTCATTAACTATTGAACATAATCTCATTAATTATTGAACGTAAAAATAATTTAAAACTTGCGCTACGTGTTGAGTATTGAGTTGTGAGTAACCCCCTAAAATGGAGCACAAACGGATCAAACGGAAATACGAAGCGAGTCTCGAAACTTAATTATTTGACAGTATATGTGTTACTTCTCGTGAAATTTATAGTGTTTGGTAATTTCTTTTTATCTCTTATATCTTTTATCTATTAATATTTCAAGAAAAAAGAAAGAGATAGAGACATTAAATTGTTATTAAGTTGTTGTTAAGTTGTTTTATATAAGCCATTTTGGCAAATTAAATTTCTGAAATACGGACAGTGAGAGAAATATTATTCGCCATTTAATTAAAAATCTAGTGGAACTTTAACGCAAGTTGAAAATATTGAATATTAAATTTTAAAAAGCTGTGACTTGTGACAAATGATGAGCTTTCTTAATTTATATATGTGACGTTACTTGTAAAATACTCTGTAATATATGAGATATTGCAAATTTTCTAAATTTTACATATTTTTGCGTTGAAAATATATAATTTTTTTTAATTTTCTTTTTAATTTATCTATGTCAAGAATACTAATTATGCTGAATTCGTAAACTAATTCATAAATATAATTGTACTGTATTAATTATAATTTTTAAAAATAGATATAGTGTTTATATAATATTACTTTAAAATGATTGTACTCATTTGTCGTGCTTTCGTCGACCAAATTCTCTGGTGACACATTTAAATACTGGAAATGCCTCAAGGCCGATGATGATCACGAAGACTCATCCCATACATGCACACTTATATTATCGTCATCTTGCAAAAAATGTATAATCGAACTGGATATTAACAATCTCCTACAAACATACTCTGACGTAATCGAGAAGAAATATTTCTATATGATCGTTAACTTTGTATCTATATTATCCCTTTCTAAAAAAGGCGTGAAACCTTGAACTCAAATATATTGAAGCGTTGAAGCCTTTTTTCTGTAATACTGATTAGCTGTCTCGCTTGTGCGCTGCGACTTGCTTTACTCATATTATTTGCGGCTGTCAAATCATGCGAATTTTGACAGTTTGACAGTTTGTGAAAGAAAAAGTTAAAGTTGTGGAAAGAGAAGTTAAAAGAATTGGAAAATGTCCGCAAATAAAAGCGCGCGCCTGTGTTGTTCTAGTACTACTTATAAACTCGAGAGTGGAAACGAAACATATGGAATCAGCCAACTTTGTTCTTTTAATCGTGTTTCGATTAAAAACACGTATAGAAATAACAGATGAACAATCATTATTGCTCTTATTGAAAGAAGTATACTACTGTATAATATGAAGTATCTATTATAACATTATACACAAGAAATATGTACAAAGGATGATCCAAATTAAATTTGAGACATTTTTTTAGCTCCAATTTTGAATTAATTTCTACTTAATTAAAGTTACCATGCATTAAATTTATTATGTATTAAAGTTGCTATTATATTCTAAATATTATGAAACGGAGAACAAATTTATAAATATAGAATAAAATTATAAATATCTTAATGCTTGAACTTCTGTATACATACACGATTGAGATTATTGTTGTGAAAATTTTTATATCCAAGGCATCAATATCACGTCTCTCCGAGGACATTTTAATTTTCTAATATCTCTGTAATGCAGTATAGAGAGTCAACATCCCATGTTAATTGGCGTAATTCGATTCTACCTCACGCTTTAAGCTTACCACTTATCATTTTAGCGAGAACAAGTCGTCTCTAAAAGTGATTTCTACAAAATTCTATCTCACGAAATGGCCGATGTCGTTTTTGTAATATCATGATAAGTGGAATACAAATATCGTCGACTTCGGGCATAAAAATTATGACCGATAAAGCCAGAACGTTGTTGCAAGCTGCGCAAGTACAAGGACCCGTAAACAAACCACACGTGCAAAAAGTATAATTGTTTGTCGTTAAATGTGCGTGTATATAAAACTGAGATTTCCAAAATAGAGTCTATTTCTTTTGCGAATCTTTTGTAAAATAATTTTAATATTAAATATCCTCTATTTTCGAATAAATATACTTGTGTATGTATATGTGTGTATAAATCTCTTATGTTATCTAAATGATATTAATTTTATTATATAAATGTCCATATATATCTGTTCATGAGAAATTTATAGTCATATTTTCATATATATATATATAGGGTGTCCCATAATTCACAGGTGTCTCATAATTCAATATATGTATACATATATTTTATAATATGCAAATGTGTGATTCATATATAGCGTAGGTATACAATATGTGTGTATGTAAATATACGTGCATCGAAATCTTCGAAAGTATCAGTGCCATAAATATACACGCGCATGTAAGATACACGCGTGACTATTTATTGCACACATACATATACTTATATATTAGCTATCGTCATGACTGTGCTATGGACTTATTTTTGTCCATAGTCATGTTACGGTGTATCAGTTGACTATATAACTGCGGGAAGCTATACGATATAATAAAGAAACTACGTGTCTCTGCGTGAGATATTCGTACGTAAATTGAGACATTTGTCGTGGGAGTGGAGAGATTATTGAACCAAAAATTCATGTGTGAATAATTAGGCTGATTCTTCAACCCATTTTATATTCATCATTATGAGCACGAAACTTTTTTTTTTTTTTTTTTTTTTTTTTTTTTTTTGTTGTTAAAAAAGCAGTTATCAGGCGGATATGGTATTATTTATAATAAATAAAACAAGAGAGATATATTTAGCCTTAATATAATAATAACTTTCATAGTTATTATATTATAACTATATTATATAATTGAATTTTACTAAACTATTATATAAAAAATTATATATCTTACATGTAAATGACATTCTCTTTTGACAAGATCGGAATACGATTAAAGATCGGTTGCACTATCGTATGATAATATACTAATTTGTATATAAAATAAAGTATTTGCATTTTAATTTATGGAAATTTATATTCGAGATGGATACATGTGTTACGCGCACATTATTAACATATAAGTTTGCAATTAAAATTTGTTATAACTCAATTTATTAAGACAGGCATATATCGTTTACATTATTAAAATATGCAAAAAATGCTTTTCTATAAATTATAAGATAAATAAATTTATTTTATGTTTTGTATATTAATAACTCATTGCTGTTAAATTTCACTCATCATTTCTTTTCCTTGTTACAGTAACCCACGTGCGTCGCGAAACATGGCAGAAAAGCAACGCCGTGACAATCTCAACACAAATATCTCGACGATGGCGGCCCTTGTACCGATTGTCGCTGGAAGTTCGAGGAGGATGGACAAGATATCCATTCTGAGATTAGCTGCTGCCTTCCTGAGAACACAATACAGTAAGTTGATTATAAAAAAAAAAAATTCTTTTCTACAAGATATTTTTTTAATTATAATTTATTATTAATAAACATATTTTGTTCTTATTATCATCTTAATATTTCTAAATTTTTCTTCTAATTAAATTCATTATATTATAGCTTGTTATTAATTATCATATTCTTTTATATTTTATTATTATTCTAATATTTTTAAATCCTTGTTCTTTTGTTATTAAGTTAAATAATGAATGGAGCTGAATTAATTTGTCATATTATATATATTTTTTATATAAACAGATTTAATCATAGACAGATAATTATAAGTCTAAGCAATTGAAGCTTGTATAATTTACAGGATACGTTATTAAATAAATTTCTCGTCTATATTGACATGATTCCGATTAATGTGAAAAGAAGCATTACTTACGGTCATGTATTTTATGCATTATTTACAGTATTCGGACGTCGCTCGACGAATTTTCTTCCCCGACAGCTCAATGAGTTCGACTTGGAGCAATATTTTGTCGACGTAAGTACATAATGCATATATATAAGTGCTATAATACAAATCTCGAGACGATCGACACTGTGGACTCATTTTTCAAATCATAATAGCATATAGTTGACAGCGAAGGATTCTTCCTCATAGTCACCGCAACAGGGAAAATTGTCTACGTCAGCCGACAAGTGGAGCATCACCTCGGCCATGTCCAAGTGAGTTTTTCCCCATTATATAATATATGCAGCGAATTATTTTTATTAATACAACTGAATAATTTTGTCAACTCCGTCTTTTCTCTTATCTCCTCTCTTCTTTTAATTAAAATTAATTGTTTGGAAATTTTATACTTCGACAATTTACATTATTGCATACATATAGTTATCTCTGTTCCCAATTTATATAGCAATTAAAAAACTGGTTAATCACGAATATATCAGAATTACCTTTGCTTCAACGGACCACGAGTTTTCTCATGTTCATTCTCGATATCTCGATAAAAAATAGCTTATCGATAGGTAAAAATGTAAATATATTATACCAATGAAAGAGCCAATAACACAGCTTTTCAGAATACGTTTGTCTGACAGCGAAACATATTAATTCGTTCTTTTTGTTTTTTTATGAATCGAAAATCAAACTCTTATATTTTGCATTGCTCGCGGTAAAACGCTTCAAGTACTCATCCAGTGATTATTTAAGGAAGCTATTCGCCATACATATAAATGTTTCGTGAAATTTTCCACATTTCTCTTTTTTTTTTAAACATAATTATATTTTTATTTATATTTAAGCATGTTTATATTGCGGCCATTGAAATATAGGATCGTATAATATTTTCGCGCCGGCGCTGAGAAGAAGGTAAATAGGCGGTTAGAGTGGGAGGGAGGGAGGGAGAGGACAGAGGAGAGCGATCGCGATCTCTCGCGGATGCAGCAGCTGCAGCTGCAACACCGACCTGCCCTGTAATGCGCGGAGTCAGGAATTATCGATCAAATGAGTGCGTGCAACGCAAATACGCTCCCATGGCAACCGCGCGTTGTGTGCCCTCTGCTCCTTTTCGCTCGCTATGAAACATACATATTCACCAATATCGTTTCCCGTATTTGTACGTGGGAATTACTCGGCGCGATTGCTCGCGAAAAATGATCGCGTGTCCGTTCGCCTGTTTCAATGAAAAAATTCGTCCGCTGCCAATGAAACGTACGATGATCTCGCGTGGTAATTATTCACCGGATCCACGTGCGACTTTTTCCGGAAATTCACGCATTCAACCTGGTGGGAATACTCTTAATGGATTCGATGAATTTTCGGAAAAGATAAAATATGTTCAATTACGTAAAACTAAAAGATATAAAGAAATTTAACATTATTTAAATAGTATGGAAAGCGTATTTTTTTAATATATCAAAAATATTTAAATACATATACATAATTATATGTATAGGAATTTTGTTCGAACAATGATACGATAATTATAACTTAAAATGAAAATTGTTACAGATTATATTTTTCAAAATGTGTTACACAGTTTAATGGCACATTAAGACATTATTGTGTAAATTATTAATATTAATTATTAATAATAAATTATATTAATATGCACGATTTTATTTGCAAAATCAAAAGATATAATTTAGATGGATCATTGAATGGACTCTGTTATATTGCTCGTATTTTTCTCTGTTTGTTCCGTTCGTATTCAAAGAAATGAGCGATAATTTCACATCATAAAATGCGGAATTTGGTCTATCGAGAGAAATGTGAATTTTATCGGATCTAATGAAATAAACGTTTCAGAAATCATTACATAAAACGGAACGTGTGATTAATCGGAGACAAATTTAAGGATCAAGTAATGAACGTTGCGGGAATAATGAGCATGTCTCCGTTTATATCTTGCGATAGATACGAACCGGTTAATTATCTGCTGCAGATATTAAGCGCGTATTGTACGAAAATAATTAGCTCGATCGATATTGAGATACATAACGAGAATCTCGCTTTGCTACTTGCTGCGCTTTGTATCTGACTTTGTATCTATAGCATAGTCATTTGACGAGATCGGCGTGACGACCTTTCCGAACTATCGGAGACATCGTAATTATGCACGTGACGTCGCTTCAGCGACGGAATAATTTTATTTCACTTGGAGTCACTGAAAAGCCCAAGTAGAAGAAACTGCGATAATATATCTTTCATCTGGATGTAGAACTGCGTGACAACGGATTAAATGAGATGAGTGAAAAAGTCTAAACAGAGTATAAAAAGCATTTTATGCTGCTACCTTGGAATCGGAAATCACAAATGTCGAAGCTAAAAACTGCTATATGTTCAGATATACTGTTGATTTCAAATTCGAACTCCGACGTTGAAGGTAAATTCCATTTCAAAGCGGTTTTAACTGTTGCAAACGAATTCCGCGAAATATGAATCAAAAATTTGAAATACGATAGCAATAAAGTATTTTGGCAAAAATTTATATAATTTATGTGAATTTTTATATTTTAGAGATGGTTAATTAATTTTATTTCTTTTGTGTGTGAATTATAATTGACATGTTAAGAGCAAACATCAATTATAATTTTTGCGGGACTAATAGATTGTATCATTGAAATTTGCTTTTTGAATTTAAGAGTTATTATTTTTGGCAATAAATCAGAAAGTCGTGCAAAGAGATTGTCATCGTTCGAATATTTTTCATGGAACCAAGTCAACAACCAATTTAACGGAGATCGAATTCCGAGTTTATGGAATCCGCAAATACCCGAAACACGAAAACAACGGAGATCAACAGTGTACAAGTCGGTCATTAATGATGTTTCGTATTATCTGCATTCAAAAGGATATCTCTGTAATAAGTACGACTCATCGATTGCTTTTATTTTTTGCGAACACGAAGCGATTAAATTGCAATTAATTATGTGAGCAAAGAAAAAGGTTCTCCAAATATTAAAAATTGAGTGTAAACATATGAAATGCTACTTCTACGTCTAATGTGTAGAACTCCCGTTTACGAGGCCTTGATTTCGCAAGTTTCTTCAATTCTCACGGCCAGATTTTGAGCGAGGCTTAGCGAAACAATCTTTTTGCAACATATAAGGATCGTGGACGCTAATGATGGCTAAAACAACCGACAATTTTGGGGCTTTCGGTAAAGAAAATGTGGATTCAGATTATGACCTATGACGGAAGAACCTCTCAGGGTCTTCAAAATAATACGACCTTGCGAATATTAGACGATGGACCACGGGCTAAAGAATATATACCTGAATATGATACCAATTAGGAGAGATATTATAAAACAAAAAACAAGTGGAGAGTGCAAATCAATCAGATTTTTTTGATAGATCACAGCGTCGTCTAGTTTTACATTTTTACATTTGTGAATCATTTTACATTTATGAATATTACTCAATAACACAATTATTATACATTTTTGCGCTTTTGCAATGGCTCAATTTTCTTTTTTTGTTAGTTTAAAAATATTTTGTTTTTTTTTTAAATTAATTATTATTGATGAGACTTATAACGAGAAATTATCGAACTTGTGTCATCAAATTCGAATCATGTAATTGTCATTTTATTGTGAAATGATCAAATTGTGTTGCCGTGTGCGTGTCTTTCTTTATTAATAAATTTATCCCATGGTTCTTTGCATATTTTGGAAAGACATTTAAATTTCATTCTTCTATCATTCATTTGTAGCGCATGAGGATCACATCCTCTGATTTACTATAATTTGCTATTTATCTGTACATTTATTGAATTAAATTGAGTTACGCAAGACAATTACGTTAGATATTGACATTAAAGAGAACCATTAAAATTCTAATAATCTAGAGTTTTCAAGAGAGCAATGCTAAAAAATCTTCTCGAACATGTTTTCGTCAAAAGTGCGTGCTTTCATCGTTACAACTAGCCGATATAGGGTTATCGCCCTTTTGTTTACGCTCAAAGCGGCACGTGTTTACGCGTGCGGGATCCAAGATTGCTTCTAGGAAACTGTATTCGACGACGAAGATGATATATAACTCCCAAAACACAAGAAGAATAAAAATGTCACGACGATGATCGTTCGCTCTACGAGGCGTCGATTATTCCATATTTCGCGACAAAGATAAAACTTATTAAAATCTAAATATCTAAAAATAGAGACGCGCGTGTGTATCCCAGAGATCAGGAAGATCCTCGGAGACTTTAACGCGCGATTCAAATTCTTGTTCGCGCTTCACGAGATTAACGTTTCGCAGCGGAAAAGAGAAAAGCTCTGTCAACGTGCTTTATCGCTTCTTCATCCTCCCACCCATCTTTGAAGCTTCCTCCGTATTTTTGCGAGGAAGCAACGACGACGATAAAGTGTAAAAAAAAAAAAAAAAAATGTCCGCGTTATCGATCGCATTCACCAGTGGCGTTCCAGATTCAGGCGTAACGATAATTCGCCACTTTGCCGTAACGAACCGGCTCTTGGAAGCCGGCCGAGTCCTTCTCTCCTTCTCCTTTTTTCTTTCAGCTTTTACATGTAAGAGAGATGCCAGAACAAGTGGGCTATATAGAGAAAGGAAGACAGAAAGAAAGAGAGAGAGAGAGAGAAAGGGAAGAAAAAGAAGAAGAGAAGATGGAAGAGTAGGAGGATGATATGCAGGAGCGGGATGGAAGTTGTTTGTGAGCGCGGGTTTGCTCTCGTTTTTTAAGAAGGTACTCATAATCAGCCTGTATTGTTCTCAAGGAGAAACCGCCTGCCGCGAAAACGAGCTCCGACGCCGACGCGGTGCACTGTCGTCGTCGTCGTCGTTGACGTATCGCGATTCGCTGCGCGAAAGATACCGTTGGGTTTAGTTAACAATAAGTATAGATGGCCCTTTACAGGAGGAGTCTGAAACTTTGCGAACGAAACTTTGAAGTATTTCTATTCAGCAGATGAGGGTGCTCCTCCTGCGTGTGGAAAATTAATCGAATATAGACATATCGATTGGTTAGATTTTAATTTATGATAATGACCGATAATAGTATTTTTTCTTGTACTAATGAGAGAGAGAGAGAGAGAGAGAGAGTTAATTAATAAACGTTGAACATTTAATATTATATAATTATATCTTTGAAAAAAAAAACAAAAAGAAAATGTACAATATTGAAAGCGCCAAGATATCATTGTTTGTTCTTTTTTGTTTTAAAGTATTGTATTATTTATTAGATTATAAAATCGAACTAAATTAGTTAAAAAAGAAACGAAAAAGTTGAGAATATTAATTCTTCTCATAACATACTTTCCCAATTGCTTTCCAACATTGCTTTTTTTTTATAAATATAATATAATTAATTTTTTATAATGTAAAGAACTAAGAGACGACTATTGTACGATTCTATATTCAATGTTAATGTAAATATACGTATCAGATCGTACAAACAACAAAGATCAATATGAACGATAGGAGGCAATTTGATCTAAACTTCGAAATTAGAGACTCTCGTCTGAATTTCGAAATTGTTTGAATTTTGCAGAACGAATTGCTGGGTCAATCTCTGACCGATTTCGTCCATCCTGATGATCATGAGGAGCTTAAGCGAAACCTTATACCCGACGACATGCAACTGACAACGGCATCGTCGCCAACCGGATCCGATTTGGTGCACAATTTGGATTACAATTCCAGCTCCTCCGAGGATTCGACAACAAATCACAACAGAGTAAACGAGAAGAACAAGCTATTCCACGAGCAGAGGCGGAAGTTCAAGATTCGCATGGCTCAGCGCACCGTGAACAGGCGTGAACACACGCAGTACGAAACTTTTGACATTTCGGGAGTCCTTCGACTCGCGGAAGCTTGCAAGAATGCAGATGCTAACGGGAACCGAGGAAGACATCGAGGTGAGAATCTATATGAAAATTTACAGTATTACATTAAAAGTGTGTTAAAGTCGGAAATTATTTTATCTTTCTTCTTTTTAATTAAATTTTTCCAAAATATTTTTAATTAATTTAATTAAATTTATAATTATTAAACAAAACAGAAAAAAATTGAAGAATGTTTGAAATATCTATAACTTTTTACGTTGAATATTACGAGAAATCGATTTATATAAAAAAAAAAATTAGGGTGGTAAAAAAAGAAAAGTTGGATAAATGTATGCAGAAATATAAAGTGGTGATGACATAATACCCATGACATAATTGCCCCCTATGTCTCTACAACTTTTATTTAACAATTATTACCTAACACTTACTTTCCTTTACGAGTTATTCAGATGTATCATTTTATTTCGGACATACTCTGTGTATAATCACAGACGTTCTTTCGTATTATAAATCAGCAATATTGCTTCATTATGTATTCCATATCGAACGTAGCGAGCGAGTCGAAAGAGAGGATTACTCGCGCGAATTTTGCGGATCGATGGTCTTGTTTTATCATGACTGAAACCCGTAGCGCTGGTTTCGTAACGAGTATCGCAAATATTTACGCTACTCCTGTATTTAAATTTAGACCTTCGCCGTTGTCGACGAAATGTTAGGCTCAGTCACGAGCGAGTTTAGATTCTTTGAGACTCGCCTGTTAGATCAGAATTGAACGTCGGGGCAAGCACGTGTTGTACGATGCACTGTTTAAAAAGGCGTTCAGAGGCGCGGACTCCAGCACAGGTGGATTTACCAAGCACGATAGTTTTATTACGCAAAATGCTCGGACTTGCCCGACGCCACCTTTTACTTATGAGAATTCTTTGATGTATCTTGAATCGATCTTTCCTTAGTGGATATTTAATGGAAAGCCAACAAGCGCCGTAACTTTTCACTTTGCAACATTAAACATCTCAGTAATCTAGTTTCAAATTACATTTTTGTTGGGATAAAGATTGCTTGAGGCAAGTAAAATATGATTTACGTATTTGTGTTTAAGCTTTGTTTACATAAAAATCTCTCAACTTCCAATAGCTTACAGAGTCTGAAAGTTATCCATGCCCACAAATTGAATATCAGAATTGAATTTTTTTTTTATTTGATATCTATAGTATTTATAATAAAAAAGCTCACGCATCTTTATTATACATTTCCTTATAAATATTATTAGTCTAGCGAATCTCTAAACATTTTTCATCAAATAATCCTTACGATGTATCGTGACCCGATTCTCTTTTCTGAGATAATATATTTATTTACACATTTCACTTGCAATTTTACTATGTGCGATTGCGTCTGATTGTTTGCTAACTCTGGTTCCGTTGCAATGATTCTAACAGAGATAACGGGCACTAGCAACGACATTGTTTTCGCTGGCGTAGCGACCCTACCGAAGAAACGCCCCATCACCGAATTGTCAATAATGGATGCCAATAGAGACGAGTATATGACACGGCATCTGGTCGACGGACGTATCGTCTATTGCGATCATAGGGTATCCGTCGTTGCCGGCTATTTGTCGGAGGAAGTGTCTGGTCTGAATGCGTTTGCCTTTATGCACAAGGCTGATTTAAGATGGACAATGGTCGGTCTACGGCAAAGTAAGTTTTCGTATTTAAGTATAATTAAATAAGATTTTTTATTCTTCCGTTGAAAAATATTTACATACAATGTACATAGCGATAACAGGGTGTCTACTATCTGGAAAAACATGGAAAACCATTCCATGGGACTTATCGTCAGAGAATTTTTTTTTAATTATCTCTTCAATAATTTTGCTCTCACATTGTAAACAGTCGATAAGCCAAATTATGCGCGTTTAAAATATATTATATATATATATATATCTTTTTTATATATTCATTATTTTAACAAAATATTGAATATACAGTCCATATTCTTTATTATAATTTTCAGTGATAAAAAAATGAAAATGTATGTAAGTGAAAAATGTTTATCTTACGAAAGCTATTCAGTTTTTTTTTCAATATATTTACAAATTTGGCACTTGAAACTTAAGAGGCTGTATTTTTCCTTCGTACTAGTGAAAAATATTAGAAAACGCATGCAATAAAAAATTTATTTTAGAAAGTTGCATAGAGGAAGACATCGAGGTGAGAATCTATATGAAAATTTACAGTATTATACATAAAAAGTGTGTTAAAGCCGGAAATTATTTTATCTTTCTTCTTTTTAATTAAATTTTTCCAAAATATTTTTAATTAATTTAATTAAATTTATAATTATTAAACAAAACAGAAAAAAATTGAAGAATGTTTGAAATATCTATAACTTTTTACGTTGAATATTACGAGAAATCGATTTATATAAAAAAAAAAATTAGGGTGGTAAAAAAAGAAAAGTTGGATAAATGTATGCAGAAATATAAAGTGGTGATGACATAATACCCATGACATAATTGCCCCCTATGTCTCTACAACTTTTATTTAACAATTATTACCTAACACTTACTTTCCTTTACGAGTTATTCAGATGTATCATTTTATTTCGGACATACTCTGTGTATAATCACAGACGTTCTTTCGTATTATAAATCAGCAATATTGCTTCATTATGTATTCCATATCGAACGTAGCGAGCGAGTCGAAAGAGAGGATTACTCGCGCGAATTTTGCGGATCGATGGTCTTGTTTTATCATGACTGAAACCCGTAGCGCTGGTTTCGTAACGAGTATCGCAAATATTTACGCTACTCCTGTATTTAAATTTAGACCTTCGCCGTTGTCGACGAAATGTTAGGCTCAGTCACGAGCGAGTTTAGATTCTTTGAGACTCGCCTGTTAGATCAGAATTGAACGTCGGGGCAAGCACGTGTTGTACGATGCACTGTTTAAAAAGGCGTTCAGAGGCGCGGACTCCAGCACAGGTGGATTTACCAAGCACGATAGTTTTATTACGCAAAATGCTCGGACTTGCCCGACGCCACCTTTTACTTATGAGAATTCTTTGATGTATCTTGAATCGATCTTTCCTTAGTGGATATTTAATGGAAAGCCAACAAGCGCCGTAACTTTTCACTTTGCAACATTAAACATCTCAGTAATCTAGTTTCAAATTACATTTTTGTTGGGATAAAGATTGCTTGAGGCAAGTAAAATATGATTTACGTATTTGTGTTTAAGCTTTGTTTACATAAAAATCTCTCAACTTCCAATAGCTTACAGAGTCTGAAAGTTATCCATGCCCACAAATTGAATATCAGAATTGAATTTTTTTTTTATTTGATATCTATAGTATTTATAATAAAAAAGCTCACGCATCTTTATTATACATTTCCTTATAAATATTATTAGTCTAGCGAATCTCTAAACATTTTTCATCAAATAATCCTTACGATGTATCGTGACCCGATTCTCTTTTCTGAGATAATATATTTATTTACACATTTCACTTGCAATTTTACTATGTGCGATTGCGTCTGATTGTTTGCTAACTCTGGTTCCGTTGCAATGATTCTAACAGAGATAACGGGCACTAGCAACGACATTGTTTTCGCTGGCGTAGCGACCCTACCGAAGAAACGCCCCATCACCGAATTGTCAATAATGGATGCCAATAGAGACGAGTATATGACACGGCATCTGGTCGACGGACGTATCGTCTATTGCGATCATAGGGTATCCGTCGTTGCCGGCTATTTGTCGGAGGAAGTGTCTGGTCTGAATGCGTTTGCCTTTATGCACAAGGCTGATTTAAGATGGACAATGGTCGGTCTACGGCAAAGTAAGTTTTCGTATTTAAGTATAATTAAATAAGATTTTTTATTCTTCCGTTGAAAAATATTTACATACAATGTACATAGCGATAACAGGGTGTCTACTATCTGGAAAAACATGGAAAACCATTCCATGGGACTTATCGTCAGAGAATTTTTTTTTAATTATCTCTTCAATAATTTTGCTCTCACATTGTAAACAGTCGATAAGCCAAATTATGCGCGTTTAAAATATATTATATATATATATATATCTTTTTTATATATTCATTATTTTAACAAAATATTGAATATACAGTCCATATTCTTTATTATAATTTTCAGTGATAAAAAAATGAAAATGTATGTAAGTGAAAAATGTTTATCTTACGAAAGCTATTCAGTTTTTTTTTCAATATATTTACAAATTTGGCACTTGAAACTTAAGAGGCTGTATTTTTCCTTCGTACTAGTGAAAAATATTAGAAAACGCATGCAATAAAAAATTTATTTTAGAAAGTTGCATAAAAAAATCTTTAAAATATTCTCTTTACTTGGAATTTTGAACAAAAATACTTGGAAGATCAAGGAATTTTCAGAGAATTATTTTTACAAAATTTGAGTAGACATTCTGTTAAACTAAAATATTCAATAAAATATTAATAAAAATAATGTTATGTATTTTTTTATTGTATTTGATAGTCAATTTATTAAAAAAATACATATATGTATTATTTTTTATATTTAACAGTCAGATCAATAACATTTTACATTATATACATATTATGTCGGCATTATTTTAATACATGCAGGTTTTACAACAAACGTTTGCGATATTTTGCATGCCATTTCCATAATCAATCACAATTTAAACATGACAGCAAAGTATATGTAAAGCGATCTATTTAAAACCAACTATCATTTTGCACGTGTAATTACTCATAATTAGTTATGCATTCGCAGTGTACAATCATGCCGAAACATGCGGCTCGTCGTGCTACAGATTACTCACAAAAGCCGGTAAATTCATCTATCTAAGGACACATGGTTACTTGGAATACGACAAGAACACGAAAACGGTGGAATCCTTCGTTTGCGTTAACACCTTGGTATCGTAAGTACAATTTCTCAATGCATTATAGGACAGACGGGGGAAACAAATAATAATTGGATTCACAGATATCAAAGTTAAAGCAATAAATATAAGGGAACAGATTCAATTATTTTTCCAAACTATATCTCTGTTTTTTGAATATTAACTCTTAAAAGTCACATATGGGTTATTTTGATCTTACCGATATTTTAACAATAGAATATCCCGAAGTCCTTAATTAATAAAAAATAATGTTTAAAACCTATTTTTTAACTTTTGTTGTACATGATCATTCTCTACAAATGTCAAAGAATATATCACTTTTTGTAGATTTTTTTAAGCATTTTGAGACAGTTAAAACTACGACAAGACATTATGACCCATATGTGACCAGTAACAGAGCAAAAGAAATATGTGACTTACAAAGATTAAAATACACATTGGATAGCATATTATGCAATGTATTTAGCAAAACATATAGCAATATAAGGAAAATTTTGTTGCATGCAGGGAAAAAGAAGGTATCCAACTAATAAAAGAGATGAGAGAAAGATTCGCCGCGACTCCAGCTAGCAAAGGTCTTATAAAGAATGTCGACATGAGTTCAACGATAGAGATGGTAAGTCAAATGTTATTCTACGCGTTTACAACGCTTGGTTATATTTGCGCATGAAACTTGTGAGCGAAGAGATTGTTTAACGGTTTAAATGTTAGGATATGAACTCCAAATCGAATCCACGATGCAGTCTCGAAGATCCGTCACAACTCGAAGAAGCCATCACCCACTTAATTAGCGACTTACCTTCGGTGGCCGCATCGGAAGATCATTGCTCACTCTCGCCGAAGCCCGTCACATTGTCTTCTCATACACCACCATTCACCGCGCAAACAAATAAAGTTGATCGTTACATCGTTATGCAAGACAAAGATAATCGAACTCCGAAGCAAGAATCCAAGGATTACGAACATACATTGGGAAAACTTAATAATTCCAGTAGCGCGGAGCAATGTCCAATATCGGATTCAGAAAGCATTAAGTTATCTTGCAAACCTTTGTCGATGTTTGATATGACGAATGGAGCGCACAATAATCATAATAACGTCCAGAATGCCGATATGTCTGTACAATCGAACATTCTTGCCAACACTCGCAAACCTAATATAAATCGTTGTCGAAGAGTCTCTCGTAGTCATATATCACGTTTGGATGTATCTCAAAACATGAACGGTTTGAACACACAGGTTAAAATAGAGCAGCGCGACAATATGCTATCACCAGACGCTCTGCGCGAAAACGACATTAAGCTGGAACGCGGGATCGAGACGTTCAATCATCAAAAGCAAGAATCAGTGTTACAATACTTTGATGACAGCGCGAGCGACAGTTCTACCATTTCACAAGGGATCGAAACGCATAATCGGTGTATGTTGAAGAGAGTATATAGCGACGAAGATCTTCCGGCAATGCACAGCAAGAAAAGGTCTAATGATGTATTGTATATGTCGACGAATGCCAACGACGAACAACAGTGCGTTTCCTATGTGAACTGCGGGACTTTCGCCACTGAAGACAAGTATTCGGCCAAGTTTAATCAGTACAACGACATCAAGTCGCAGTCACTGAACACTGCGGAGTCACCCAATTCGAGTCTTGACCAAGAGATCGTAGCGTTGGACATCCGAGAATTCCTAAATTCGAAACATCCAGGTAAATTTAATAGCAACTTGTGCTCGTTCATCGACGAAGTAAAGTGACTAGTTTTGTTTTATCTTGAATATTAAGTAACACATTGAATGTTAACTATATCCTTCGCATTAAATTAAATCCGACTTGTTTTTCTTTTCTTCGATCAAAGTCACTATTTACTATGAATCGGTTACATGATAATTAGCTCTTCAAATGGCATATTCTTGATAAACTTTTTCTTTTTGTTCTCTTATAGACTTTATGGAGACAATAATTAATCTTCAAAATGGATCTGTAACAGGCTTTGAAAGTGAGTGATCTTATATCATTTGTGAATATCTTTGCGAGATATATTCGTCAAATTAATTTTGATTTTCGTTATTTCAGATTGTTTTAATGAAGTAAAATCGCAGCAGATTACACCTAACTTTGTAAGTATACAATCATACATGCGATTTATTGTTCAAATTTGAATGATTTGAAAATGATTTGGAGATCAGATTTTGAGTGGAGTATTAAATTTATGCAATACGCTTTCAGCGAATTGTCCGTGACGAGTTAAATCGCACGTGTCGCCAATTAGCGAGCAATATAAAGTTACAAAAGTCCCAAATCAATATGTTGGCGGCAAGTGTCAAAAACTCAGTCCTTCTTGCTCAGACGGAGGAGTTACAGGTATATAGATTGATAATGAGAAAATGTCATCTGAGAAAATTAAGATATCAAGATTAATGATTGTTATTTTTCAGTTTGAGCACAACAGGCAAAATCAAATGCTTATAACTTTGCAACAGGATATCCATCATCAAATACAAAATGAATGCAAATGAATGCCAAGCACAATTTTGGAATATAAGAAACCGGATAGTTTTCCAGGTCGTTTCACGAGTTTTACTGAAACCAATTCAAGACGTTTAAAGCGAGCTTAATAGAATACTCTTCGGAACTGTATTAATTGATAAGAAATAAGCTTTAAAAGTTATCTTTTTCGCGAAAGACTTAAACAAAGATATCGGCGTATGTGCAATTTGCATAATATTCCTTGTATTCTGGTATTGTATTTCTGGGATATTTCTTCGTTTTTGTGAATTACCGATATATGTTACAAAAATGTCTAGATAATTGTGTCATCAGTGCAAACAACGAACAGAGATTTGCATCAGCGCATATATCGCATGTGAAATTGCTCAGTTCACGATGAATCAAGGTAGGTGTTTAGATATGTTGATGATTTCTATCACTAAAGCAATCTGCTTCAACCTATGTTTTCCGTCGACCATCCATTTTCCAGAAATGGAAAAGAAACGAGTGAGAAAAGACATTGATAAAAGAACTCGCATAGAGAATAGTCGAGTGATTGACGTATATAAATGTTTTTTTTTTTTTTCATTTCTTGAACTCTGTGCGACTAAGAACTCTTATGAGTTGCCGTATGAAAAGTCGTGCACTTCGCTCACTAATCGATCATGCAGATCGTATAAAACCGTCGGTGCACGGTCCGTTATAAATAACAGTCGCTCTTTAAGCAGATTTCCTGCAGCGACTGAGTGTTACACGCAGTTGGTAGTTTTCAAATTTTATGATAGTGAACCTGTACATATAATATACATTCGATTTTAACGTTATGCGGTGCTTTACTCGCTAATTTACTTGTTCGCGACAAGTCCGATCGAGTTTAAACTACCTCTGGTTATGTATATGTGATTATGCATGTATCGGATGGATACGAAATCAGTGTTAGCTTTATTGGTTGTAATTGTGAATCCCCTCACATTTGGTGTCAATGACTAATAATACTCAAAGTACTGTTTATCTTTTTATAATCATGGATCAATGTCACATAGAAAATGAACAATTCGAAAAAAGAGATGATTTGGTAATTTTATTGAATGATGTTTTAACTGATCGTGTCTTGTGAAAATTGTATTACATACTACACTTGTGTGGAAAAGAAAAGAAAATTTAGAGTATGTTTATGGGGTTGCCACTATATAGGCCAGATGTAGACCAATCCTACTTATAGTGGAATGGTTTTACAACTGCATGTACCTGAACAACATTTACATTTAAATGTCCTATAATATTTGGGAACTAAAAATCTAATCATGTTGTTAAGAAATGCTGACAAATATAAATTCAGTCATTAAAAATAGATCTCATCTTTTACTTGATTATCCCTTCCCACAATTATATGCCTCTGTGTTGTATACTCTTCTGTATTTTGTACTCTTTTTAAAATGTGGTAACCCTAAGTATGTCTCTAAATTTTGATTACATTATTATATACATGCAATATAAATTTTTGAAATATTTTGAATATGCAACATATATATAAACACGAAAAAATATTGAATACAATAATAAAAACATAAATTAATAAGATATTCAAACAGAGACTTACATTTAAATCATTTTTTTACAAAAATGAATTATTCAGCTATAATCATTACTTAGTTGATTGATTTGTACAAGTAACACACATTTTTTATGCAAAGTTCTATCATGTCTTTTTATAATTTGCTTGAATGACTTATTTTTTGTTTCACTGGCCTTGTTATCCATCCAATATTATGTTACTATGCGAATATACATTAGAAACTATTTTTATTTCATCGGTAGTTGACCTCCGTATTAAAAAATAACAAATATGCGGTGTGGAAGCTACATGGTTGACTTATGTGTGTCAATTAAATTAGTGATATAAATACACATTAATTAACCGTGTTTTAAAGCGACTACTTACGATGCCGCAGGTCAGCGTGAATATAACCATATATTGTATATTGTAGAAGTGTTTAAAGGGTAAATGATATTAATATAAAAGAGTGACGCGGGAGAGAGAAAAATTGTCCACTTATGTGAACATATTCAGCACACTGGCACTTAACAGATCTACAAATTTACTTAAAACCAATATACATGTATAGATATAACATAAGGCTGGTCCTGTAAATAAAAATGTTGAACATGATCTTTTTTCAATTGACAATGTTCTAAATGCCGCGTACTTTCTTTTTCTTTCTCACGCACTACTTACTCAATCATTGAGCATCTAGAATGTATATCTGTTATTTGCAATGATGTGCTATCTTTTTAAAGGTATTAGGTTGATCAAGAAATCTATTCTTTTGCTACATAACTGTGTTATGCTAGGATAAAATAAAATTAAATTCAACAAATTTTTTGATCAACATGATATATTATATAAGTTTTTCATGCTCCTGCGTTCTTTATCATACCGCTATCGTTTGTAAGACTTGGAATTTCATTGCAACTTGTAAAGAAAATATAACAACATATACACATTCATATGTACATATACATACACGCATACATACAAATGTCACATACATATATATATACATTATATTTACTATAAAACAATGTCGTTTTTAATGTTGATGTCGAGTGAGGAAGTCAAGATTATCAAGTAGTAAAGGCCTTTATATAAATACGATCGTTACGTAAGTGCAATGTGTCGGAATTCTGATGTTCAAGATAGTTTGCTCCTCGTTGTCAGTTTTATCGGTGAAAGGGCTTGACTATCCTCACATATATACACATGCGCGCGCGCGCGCCTACACACACACACACACAACACACACAAATAAGTCGATCAATGATAAAAATATACACTTTTTTATGCGGAAGTATGCCGCTGAAATAAGGGGTATCTAATTGACTTCTATGTATATGAAACTCGTGTTGCATAATCGATGATCGCGCGTAAAGAGGGCATCGAGTTGCACTCAACTTGTCCCATTTGATGCTCGACTTTCCTCGCGATCTTATAGTACAAAGAACAAGTCTAAACTGTCTGTGTTCGGTGTACCTCATCCTCTTCTCTCTCTCTTTCTCTCAAACTATCTTTTCGTACTGTCATTAGTCATGCCGGTGATGACTTGTATTAATATATCTTGTAACTTTGGACATGGTGTATGTCAGCTTGGTTGTCGATATATGGGCCTCATATCGCAAATCGAGCAACCCCACTTTATGTAAATTTCATAATTTTAGCACCAGAGAGTACTAATCATACCTTAGTACTAAAATTAAAATTAAGAGATTTACAAAAAAATGAAATTGCTCTAGAGTTTAGCTTCTAAAGATATTTAGAGGATAGAGCTCCATATAAGATAGAGCAGTTAAAAGAATACATTCAAATATCTCAGTTATGTGCGAACATACGCGGAAAAGTAATGAAAACAAAAGGGGAAATGTGTGTGACAGCGCGTAGAGATTCTTTTCCAATATTGACTTTCGATCTTTTCTATATATTCATAATATTTCTATAAAGCCTGGTATTATTTGCGAGAAATGTCAATTCAAAAAAAATTGTCATAAAAAAATCATTTAAAGAATTGAATCATTGATTTTCATGATGTATGCAAGTTATTTTATATTATTGACGATAAGTTACGATAAAAGACAACCAAGCCTTATTACGATTTATATAGTACATTTATATTGTGCACTATAAGATTTCATTTATTGTCATGAAATTGAATAGAGATATCTAAATCTTATCAAAATGGATGATTTATGTATGTATAATTTTATTATACATATAACTTGATAAATATTAAAAACTTGTCTGTGATTACAGTTGCGTATATTAAATGGTATTCTTGTAACATGAAATTAAAAAGATGATGAGAGATTACTCTTCTAAACTTCTCTTTATCTAAAATTAATTAAAAGCCTCTTTTTATGTATCTTTTCAATAATGAATGACTGCACAATATTTATGCGAAATATTGGAAATGAGTGGATACCAATGCAACACAGACAGACGGCTCTACAGTTTATTATATATGCTACAAAGTAAAGTTTAACTTTATATATACCACTGTAAATATTTACTGCGTTATTATATTTTATACTCTGCTGATTGCACGTATAAGGCTTTTCGATTTCTTTCTATAAAAACAAAAACAAAGGCGATTAAGTGTGATTGTGTATCTTTTCTTCTTGTATACCTTTATGAATATATTAAATGCAGAATGTGTGGCAGGTTTTCATGCCGCTTGGATTTTCGTAAGATCATATTGTATCAATTGTATATAATTCAAGTTATTGATTTTTCAAAATTTCAAAGTTTCTTGCTTGGAATGCAAAAAATGTTTTCTCACAAAGTTCTTAACAGTGTTATATACATTACATTGAGAGTCACAAACGTATTTTTCTTCTCCTAAATTTATATTAGTTTACGGCGAAGCTCGTAAAGCGTATCGAAACAAGATATATGTGCAGAATGTAACAGGTAAGCTTTAATCATTCGCCTAATTGCAAAATTCAATTTAATATTGTATTCTGAAAAAAACTTCCACTTAACAATTATTTATATTTTATTACGTACTGATGAGAGGACTAATCATAAATTTTCATTAACGTATATGGTTTGTTTAACATCGCACGCTAATAAAAGAGTAGCGTTTTCCGTAAAAGAGAATAAGATAAAAAAAAACAGTTTATATACTTACTTTTCCTGCAATTTGCTCAAACAATATAAATACATGAAATACATGTTATGAATATTCTCATTAATTTTACCGTCTAACTAAACGATCCATATACGAATACGTGAATTATTTTGAACGAGTCTCAGCCGGCCGATATGTGTACGAGCGAAAATGTTTGTAAAAAATTTTCTAATGTGTAATTTCAGTGTTTCCTCTATCTGTTAAGCACTATGTAAATTTCGATAGAACTATTAAGAAATGTCGAATGTGTAATTCGCGTTCCGCAACACTTCGGTAGGAAATCCACCGCCACAAATTATTTTATGTTTTTATCATTTCTATCTTGCATTTAATTTTCATTTTACATGTTTCGGCTAGACGAATATTTTTGCAACATGCATACACACATACATATATAAGATATATATATATATATATATATATATATATAAAAATAACATTCTAGGAAAAACTGAAATTCAACAGTCTATATAGTCGGAAAATTTCCCGGGTTTTAAAGATTAATTAATACATCATACTCATGATACAATATAACGTAATTATTATATATACACATATGTTGTGAACTCGGTATTTTTTATTTTATATTATAATAGATTGTCGACTCAAAAGCCGAGAATATCTTAAAATATACAGAATTGATTTCTAGAGAATGAATCGTCATACATAATTGTCAAAATGATAAAAAGACGAATAAGTATTTTTTTATTTCTTATTTTATATATTCGGAGGTGGATGATTTCCTTACCAAGAAATTATAAGGTAATAATCAATGTATGTGTGAAGACACGAATACATTACGAATGGTCAAAGAAATCGTGCAGAGATTTATAAAAATGTTTACAGTCAAGTTGCTTAGAAAAGTGCTGATGTTTATTTGGCGCCGGAATTATTAATGGCGCAAAGCATGATAAAGTTTGGCAAAACAAATTTGTAAATAAAATACCATTTTTCTTAATCAGGTAAATTTTTCATTTTTGGTGAGCGATACAAATTAATGACTTAACGTCAAATTTGCATAAATTTGGCTAACTGTTATTGAATATTATTATATAGCGAAAGAGAAATGCAAGTACATAAAGAAATTCAGAAAAAAATATGTAATTGTAATTAATGAAGAAATATAATATGTTGGGAGAAAATTATGTACATGTATAATTATTGTGTCAAGACTGAATTATTAAGACTTCGTAGAAGGTGGAACATTTTTGTAAATAATACTACCATCTGGAAGAAATATATATGTATTATATGAATATTGTGGAAGAGTATCGATTTTTATTATTTGATTTATATTTAACCTTTTTATCTTTGCTTACAATCTATCTGGTGCTAAAAATAGGATAGTGCATTTCAAAAACATTAATATAAGATATTAATATGTTTTTTTTTTTTATTAAATTAACAGACTCGCAAAATAATTGCAGAACCGATCGCTTCACAAACATAAAATTATAAAGACCTCGTCACATTAGATACAAGTAGTACAATTGTCGAGGTGACTTCTTCGATTGATTCAGACTTTTATTACGATAAGAAGAATAAAGAATTAGTCAATCAAAATTTTTAAACGTTTATGTTATTGCTGTCAGATCTAATTGTTTAATGAACGAGAAGATGATAAATATGATATATATTACTCAATGAAAACGCTCGTTTGTATCACGCACCTCTATTATTCTATTCGATAATGTGTCTTGAACAGATTTGAGAGGAATCACTATGTCGTCAGAATAATGGATTTCTACGCAACAGTGGTATAACTGTACGAGAAAATAATCGAAAAGGCACGGCATTTCGAGGCGATTTTAATAAAAGGCACGTGTAAATGTTTTGCATATCGCGATACAATGAGAGTCTCCTAAAATGAATAATCATCATAAATTGTCTCTTAATTTTTATTCAATATACCGTATAATTGATGCGTGTTGTGTTGAACGTGTATATGGTTGTTCATCGTGTATAAGAGTCATATACTTATCCAACATATACTAACTCCCAAATAAAACAACGCGCAGAATTTGTATTGTCGAGATGTCTATAAATCAATAAGATTCTTGTATACAGAAAGTTTTAATTACGAAATCGCGATATTTTACCGTAAAATGTTATGGTTTTAATCCTCTAGTATCGAAATACCATATTAACGATATAAAATTCGACATTGAATCTTTCTATCACAAGCTTTTTTAAAATAACTAGATATTTAAAAAAATGTTTTAAAGAATTTTTTGCCAATACTTTGTTCTTTGCTTCATGCATATTTTAAATTAAATCATTTGATAATTTAAAAACAATTTGTAAATACAATTGTGTTCATCGATTAAATCGATGACTGACTGCTTCTCGATGCAAAAAGTTTATGATCAACGGATGCAGTTTATCCGACAATATACACGCGTTTTGCATGCGCAATGATAAAGGGTTTATAAAATAAACTGAATAAAGATAGATTAATAGCGATAATAATATCAATTGATAATAATACTGTTCATGTCAATTGCACGCACAAGTAATATCATACTTTTCATTTCTACTTTTTTTTTTTATTATTTCACATTATCCGCAACGAAACGGTACTTGCAATTTAGTTTATACTGTATAAATATTCGGCAAAAACATTGCAATACAGCATAATAATATTTTCAATACAGAGGCCAATGTGCGTTTCGATAGTGTTGTCTTTCGCAGAATCGGACGAGACCGGAAGAGATTCAAGAGTATAAACTTAAAACCTTATCGTCATAACAATGAAACTTATAATCGATGATTTTACAGAGAGCAAAGAAAAATAGAAAAATATACGAAATTCTAATAATGGCGCGCACATATACACATTGACCGCTGTCCTCTTACAATAAGAAGAGTACAATTGGAGATCGTTCTAGACTCTAGACGACTATTCGTTGCTACGATGAAGATTGCCATCAGCAAAAAGCACATCCGATGCGCGCCAAAAGAGTTAAGCATCATTTTTTTTATAAATCGTTTAATGGTTTAATCTCTGCTACGATTTTCTTTTCGCTAAAACTCCGAATGTGATCCAATACTATCGTCACTCCCTTTTTCTATATGTATATCACTAAACGAATCAACTTGGTCGTAGGATTGGGGTTTTAGGAATTAATTTGCATTCTAACTATTAGTTATCAAATTTTTGCTTATTAAGGAATATTTAACGAACTTCTTTTCAGGCATGACGCGACTATTACGTTGGGCCGTGATATTTAACCATTTAATTGCCAAAAACTGCTCTTCGATCTAAAATTAAACAATTTCTAATTCCTTTATGTTCACTTTTGACTAATCAAAACCGCTTTAATGCGATTTAAATTTTAAAAAAATCTATTTTAAGTATCAATATATATGTGTATCTATTGCAATATTAATATAAATATTTTTATTATTTTAAAAATTGATGTATACTTTTTGAGGCATAAATATAGCAAAAAATAAGAACTTTTTAATCAAACTTTCATCAAAAGTGAATTAAAATAATTTGCAAAAGTTGCTCTGCTTTTAACTGCGAGAGTATAGTATCAGAAATAAATTTTGGCAATTGAATATAGATGAATTTTTATCAACTGTTAAAAAGCGTCAATACATATTATTCTTCATTCATTACTCTTTATTCGTCAATCTTATGATCGTATCATTTTGCCGTATCGTTTCGTTCCAGCAATAAAATTTTATATCTGGAAAAAAAAACTTTTACGCTCATAAAAAATTTTATAAAATAATAACACTATATATCTCATTCAACAATTATAATATAATGCAAAAAAAAACAAGAACATACTTAAATATCTTTTAGTATAAAAATAGTGTTAATTTCAACCGACACAATGCCTATGGTAAAAACTCAAAATAATTGGCTAATATTATTCTCTCGAAAGTCATTTCTTTTCGCTCTCTTTTATATATGCGTAGAATCATATTGGATCGCGTATGCACAAAATAGAAAATAATTGTTTAGGAACAGAGTATGCTATAATGGAAAATTGAATCCGTCGTGACGCTTCCCAAAAACGCTCAGTACACATAGATATACATATGTTCAATATATATGTATAAATTGAGTGTTTGATTCGCGTTTATTATTTTATATCTACAATTAGCGGGCGATATGTACAAGGGGCAGGGAGAAGTGAGATTTATCATTTTCTCTACAGCCGTTATACGTCAGGCCAAGAGCAATTTATTCAATGTAGATGTCCTCTATTGGGAAAGCAGTCTCGATGAATTTTGTGTAGAACCGATGAAAAGCGCGTCTGAAAGAAAAAAATCTCGAGTTATTGCTAGTGATCCATGAACAATGCGTCATTGCAGGACGTGAGATTCTCTTTTTTTTTTTCATTTTTAAGGATATTTATAAAATATTTAAAATTTCTGAACATAGATTATATAATACGTTATCAATTTTTTAATTATATAACGATTTATAAAATATGATAAAATATATCATATAATTATATATAGAGAGTGCATTAATATATAATATATATATTATTATTACTAATAATAATAAGAAATCAATCACAAATAAAGTAAAAATTTTTAAATTAACAAATCTACACAGAATGTGAGAGAGATCAAATTTTCTGTGAAAATAAAATAAATTATATAAAGAATGACTCACCCGACAGCTTCGGCGACTGGTCTCGTGGATTCCTGACCGATGAACACGTGGCAAGCGAACCTCTGCAGAGTAGGATGCTTTGTGATGAAGCCGAGGTAGCGATGATCGCGAGGATGAAACGCACAGAACGATACATTTTTCAGTGAATAGAAATAGTCGTGACAAGGACCCTGACTTTTCTGCAAGAACATGTCAATAACAATTAGAAATTCTCTGATTTTCTCATTTTTCCTTCCAATTACTTATATATTACTCGCGTAATATTAGATGTAAGCAAATAAAGCTTTAAACGAAAAAAAAAATTAAAATAAAATAATTTGCTTATTTATAATTTTTTCTTTTTAAATGAGATTGAGTAAAAACTCTATAATATATCAAAAATTTAATAAGATGTACGGTTTTTGCTGAGGATTAAAATAACTAGATCGCATAAATCATATATACACGAATAAATTTCGATCGCAAGGAATCGCTTACCCTTGGTTTACTTCTATCGACCATTCGAAGACCTTGATCGGATACCTCCAAAATGCAGCTTTGCGAGACGGGCGGATCCTGCAATGAGTTGCGTAGGATCCTCCGTACAGCCTGGCAAACCACCCCTGTACCCTTATGCGCCAGGGTCTCTACCGAACCCAGGTAACCCAGAAGATATCTTTCTCTCTTCACTTTGGGCGCGGTGGGATCGAAGTCACTGTAGTCCATGTCGACCGCGTAAGCTGACGGAAAGATACCTTGCCGGCCTGTCCTCAAATTTACTCCTAGCACACGAAGAACAGAAGGATAAATTTTATCAATAATGAATCTGAGCATAATATTAATATTATATTGCCACTTTTTTTATTTTTCTCTCTCTTACTTTTACTTATTTAAGATCTCTTGAAAGTTGACCTAAATAAATGTCTAATATGTATCTAGAAATTAGTTTTAGATATTTAGTCTTATGATTTTTTAATCAAAAATTCGTTGCACAATTTATTATATTTATAGATCACGAAACATTTTTAACAAATAATGATCACTCATTTGGTTTAAAGTTTGTGTGCGTTTTCTCAATCATTTTTGTACATGTTTAAAAATGTAAACAAAAAAATGTAAAAGTTATCGAAAGAATAGGACTTTACTTAGATCTCTTTATGTGTCTTCTGGATATTTGTTGTTTGACAGTTTATCATCATCGTTAGATATCTGAAGGAATTGATTTGATTGTATGCAATCAAAATTGTAAGCAAGTGGAAAAGAAGATTATTACTATGATTAAGGTTCGATACCTTGAATGGCGCGAAATTGATATCTTTACGCACCTTCGCACCATAGGTCGTCGGCCTCCTTCTGCACGTATATAGGATCTCCGATTTCAAGATCAATTTCGTCGTGATGCCGCGGTATGAACTTATGCAGACCTCGATGCGTTGCCTCGAGTAGTTCCAGTTGGGTGAACGGTACACCTCCACTTCCTTCGAAATGAAAAAACAAGCTGGTATTGATCGGTATCCTAGTTATTCTGATCCGTTCGAAAACACACACACACAATTTATAACACGAACAATATTAATATTCCTTCCCGACTTTCAAAACTTTACTGAAGGCAACAGAATCTACAAACTTGTACAGTTCCTCGCAGAAAATATAATAATAAGATTATCGGGAACACACACACACACACATACACATCGTAAAAATATTGTATGTTTCTTGTGTGTTTTACAAAATTTTTAAAAATAATTCTACTTTTTTGTCAAAAATTCAGCTCAGATTTAATTGCAAACTTTTCTAATATTAAAGATTAACGCAAATTTAAAGATTTAAACATAAAGAATAAAAAATAAAATAAAATAATAAAAATAAATAAAAAAATAAAAATAAAATTTTGTTCTTTACATATATTAAATTTTACAGGTTCAAAGAATTTAAACGAACCATGTTTCAATGATCCAAGCATCTTCTTGAAAAAGATCCTTGTTCTAAATGTATTTTAACTTTTGATGCATTCTCTTTTGCATCATGTCTATTGATGAAACAAATATCTGTTATTTTGCCTTATGAAAACATATTAAAGAGTAAGCGCGAGAAAAGAAACATGATGTAAGTGCAAAATTTACGAAGAAAACTGATTTATATATACAACGGTCACTGAATTACAATCGAGGACAGAGCCGAAGCGTCGACAGGATTTATACTAAACTTCAACCGCGATATTATTCAAAATGTAAATTAAAATAATTAAAAAAATAACATATATCCATTTCGAGATTATCTTAGCTATTTATACGATTAATTGTTGAAATATTATTCTACATTACTTTTAATATTATGTGTGCAGAATTATATACTTAAATTTAATAAATTGAAAATCTTGAAAATATTAATTAGTGTTTGGATATATGTTTATCAAGACTTTTTAAATTAAATTAATTCTGTCATCTTGTGATAGTACTTGTTAAAAGAAGTACAATGTATAAGTACTCTATTTATATTTAATCGTAATTATTCAAATATAAAAAATTTGAGAGAGAGATTTATATTATAGTGTGTAGACGAAAATAGATGATATTCCGAAGAGAATTACCTGGAGTACTACTAGGCGATACCGAATCCGTGTTTTGCAGTGTATTGCAAGGTATGGGTGATACGCTTTTGGGTCCGTTTTCAGGTGAATGAGCGGTGGAATGACCACTGTCGGTGGCCATTCTCTCGCTGTCAGGCGAACTGTCCTCGTGACGAAGTCTGGGGTGACATTTCCTCAGGATAAGATGAGGCCGGGCCGATGTCGAGCCGGTGGCAGCACTCAACTCATCTGCCAGAGAAGATGATGTCTGCATGGACGTCTGGCACATGGGCGTAGCTGAGACCAGGATAATCAATCACATGTTAAAATCTCTTCATTAAATAAATACTGTAAAAATAGAAAATGAATAACTTCTGATTTTCTTTCATTTTTTCTTTCATATCTACTTTTGGCTCATTTTATCATATCGAATTTTTACACATGTAAAGAAAATATGAAGTTCACTAAAATTTAAACACTTTCTCCACATTTGCAAAATGATATTTAGATAAATGAAAATTTGAATTTATAAGACGACAGATTCATCGCGATTGCAGAAAACACTGTTCTACAGTATGCTTCTTATAGAACTGATATGATACAAGTGGACTTTTTTTTTTTTTTTTTTTATTGTGGTTGACACAACACGGTTGGTTTCTCGATTTCATTGATACACATAACTAATGTGTTACGCGGTGACGGAAAATGATACAGCTGATCTCTATCAGATGTTGTGTACATGCACTTCATGCTATAGATATACTATAAAGGTACACAATAAAGACACTATAAAGATACACTTACATGTGTTTTACTTTATCATATTATAATAAAAGCTACATATGACACAACGAAATATGAAAATAACAAAGTAATATAATTTTATATAAATTAATTTTTTAATTATAAGATGATTTATCATATTGTCTCTTATCTTGCTTTGCCAATTATACTGATATTATTATGCAATTGATACTAAAAAAAAATCTAATAATAGTTAACGAAATTCTATGTGTGTGTTGACATATTTATCATTTATAATCAATTCTAATCTCATACATATCGTTTCTTATGGGATTTTTGAAAATTCTGATTATTTACGATAATTTGACAGTTTAAAGCTGAAGAATTTCTACTTAACAGATTTTGTTAATGTTATTATTAAGTAAATTATCACTCATACAGAATTATTCTTCTTCCAACAATTTCGATAATAATATAAGATTGGAAAAACGTTATGTACATTGGAAATTTTTTTTTTCGTTATTGTTATCATTATTGAATGAGTTATTTATTCACATACGGTGCCTTTCTTACATTTCTTGTTTTTCGGAATTTCCGGCAATCTTCGACGTCTGCGCTCTGTGCCGCCGCTTCCGGGTCGATTCGACGGCACGTGCTCCGGCGTAGGCCAGGAGCTCAAACTGGAACACGAGTCGCCGACATCGCTGACGACACTATCCCGACCGCCGTTACCGGATACAGTATTGCCACCCCCGCCCGGTCCTGGTCCGCCACCGCCTACTGATCGACCCCTGCTGCTCAATCCACCGAACAGGCTAATATCATCCAACGATAGTCATATAGTGAGCTAAGCTATCATTTCCCATGCTGCCTATTTTATTTTTATATATAACCCGTTGGGAAATACGAATAAAAAAATTCTCGTTCTTGATTGAAATGGCGTTAAAGTTCATATCGCCGAGAATTGCCGTCGCAAAATTATGAAAGATTATAATATATATTGTGCGATCAGCGTTTTTTACTTTTTTTTTTAATTTTAATGATCGATAAAGGATATAGATAAGGGAAGTGCAAAAACCAATGCATACTTGAAACGCTCATAAAATATTAGATTGGAAAATATCGAGTTCGAAAGTAATGCATAGCAACACATCTCGATTATTATTTGCATCAAACTTTAGGCAAAAATTAATTAATAATTATGAGCGTCGCTGCATATCGCGAACTCTCCCGGAGAGTATGGCCCCTCGAGTTATTTTTAACAAGATTAAAGTTTTTATGAAATTGCGGTGTTATGGTAAATGTGATGATGTACGTCACTGTATATGTACGTGCGGCTGATACTATATATATATATATATAGTACAAATATTAAGATGTAATTGCGTTTAAACGTGAAATAAATTACAACAGTTGCAACGCAATTGTAACTGCTTGTCAGAATTATAAATTATTTGCCAAATGAAATTTATTTTGCATTATAGTGCAAAGTATGTAAGAAAAATTCAAACGATTGCGAATATTAATTGTCATCATATTAATTGTCTTGCGCGAAAAATTCAAAATGATTTTTTTATTTCCAATATAGCTTTAAATTTGCTATAAATAAAAATATTTTATTCTTATCGCTTTTCTTGTCTCGAATCTTTATGTCTTTTGTCAAAGAATGCTCCGTCAAAATATTGCGAGCTTTATCTGATATATCGATATTTCAGATTGGTATACCAATAGAGTATAAAATTATACATCAAAGAAAAATACGGCATAAATAAAGTATATAAGAATATAATTTATAATAATGAGAAAGAGTGAACACTTACGATGTTACCAACCTGAAATCGCTATCGGCTATGATTGAACAATGATGGTCCAGCTCCTCGCTGTCATCAGGAGTGGTATGTCCGCTTTGATCATCGTGCCGATGAATAACGACAACTTCCTCATCCTCAGAGTCGCCGGTAACGACGTCACAGGATCTGCCGACTTCTTCATCGCTTCCTTGCGAAGATGTTGGCGAATCATCGATCATCACATCATGTACGAGCCTGACAGTCAAATCGTTAAATATGTATGTAAGATACATTAAATTTGTGATAAAAACCCGATTAAAAAATATGAAATATCAATGAAGTGTCTCTGATAACGAATTATTCCTTAATTATCCAAAAAATCGAAAAAATATATGATAATTGCTTTATCACTTGTAAATTAATACATTATTGCGTGATGTAATTTAAAGTCTTCCTTTCAAAATTTTAAATGTATAAAATAATCGATCAAAATTTTTTTATAATGATATATAATAATAGTCATAACTCTCTTAATGCGATCAGCAATCAAGACACATGATTATACAAACATTACATTTGCCATAATACGATTATGAAGATAATCGCTAAATGCAGAATTATATAATTAAATCGCATACCAGAGAGTCTCACACATACTCACATATACATACACATATATGCACCACACATACACATTACTCAACTTAACGATAGATAGCCCTCTGTAAATAGGATCATCACTTATTGGCGATAAAGGCAGCAGATATATGTATGTATGCGCGTCACAACAAAAGCCGTAGATCATCACGAAAGTTGTCTATATGCGCGTTGCGTTGCAGTTTCATGTCGCACTTGTATCCTTGTGTCACTTATGCCCCAGGATCAATAATTTTAAAGGCACGATAAAACTTGGCTGTTCTTCCATGACTTTTAATTTAATCATATATCGAATCTCTCAGCGATTTCGAACTATAATTTTATAGCTTCCTTGAATCCACTTGTGTCATATATGTTAGATACATCGACACATTTTTTTTTTTTATTTTACAATCCTATGCAATATTGCAATAATTTGACATCTTAGAATTTGTTAAGCAGAAGTTTTTGACAAAATATAAAGATAGAGTATCTTTTTTGAAACTGCTAACAATCAGTGTCAGTAACTCCTATTAAAATGACACACTGCTATTTCTCAAATTGTCAGTTCTAATTATCAATTTTATTACTTGTCAAAATGGAGTGTAAATAAATTATAGTACAAATTTTATAGGAGTTGATAAAATTCATTGAAAAGGAAATAATGTGAAAATGAATTCATTGTTTTTTATCTATATTGTATGAATAATATGCGTTATTCATTTGTCTATAGATATCTGATTTTTTATATATAAAAGCCAATGTTCCGCATATACTGTTAAAATAATTGATACTTTGAGAGAATCCAGCATGCATACATATTCTGTAATTATTATATATATGTATATATTCTCTAATATTTTTTATTATGATAAAAATATATTTAGATGATAGCTTGTTCAATGATATAATTAATATGTCCAATTATCTACATTTATTTTCGCCGATTTCATAAAAATACCTAGACAATGACGTTGATAATTACTGATATTTCACCACCCATGCACTTTCGATCTTATCAACGTGGTGCAATATCTACAACCTACATTATCGCCCTACATATTTTTACTTGGTAACAATATATGACCTGCGATATATTATCGTTTTATTTCAGCTTCTAATGTGATCATCAATCCTTCTATTTGGTCCCCCGTCTAAATTAGCTGCCTTTTTTTAATTTCAGACCGCCGTCTTTCGCAAATGACGTCGCTGTCGCGGTCCTTATTGCATCATCGTGTCATCTGTTCCGAAGACAGGTTTGTCGCGGAACGCATACTCACGTGTAGTTGGAAAGCGGGGTCTTCAGATGTTGGGGCAGCCTCTCGAAGTAATGTCGGAACTCCTCGAACTCGCTGTCAGCCATCGTCGCGTCGTTCGCAGGGTGAGCAAAATACAGGGCACAAGGCAGGGGTCGGTCCCGAGGGCGGCCGTGGCGGCCTAGAGGAGAGCTACTCGTCGACCCCCAGGAAACATACGGGGTGAAAAGATGTCGCTGACGTTGTCGCCGACGTCGCTTCGACTCCGTGCAAACGCGACGCAACCCCTATTGATTCCTGCGTGGTGAACGTCGCGCGCCTACTCGTTCGCGTGGGGGTGGGCAGGGGTTGGTTTTCAAGAGAGAGAAGAGAAAGAGAGAGAGAGAGAAAGAAAGAGGAAAGTAAAACGAGAGCTACACTCTAGGGTGAATGTTTGGTTGCGTATTCTCATCTTGCATTTAGCGTTAAATACTGACGACGACGATAACGTCGAACACGTCGGGTTAACGAGAGATAAAATCCAGTGTTCGCACGCGACGTTAAATGAACACCGCGAATACGCTTCTGTCTACCTCTCTTGAACTACTTCAAGAGATTTAATTGCTATGTTGCTTTAAGTTGGGATAGCGTAACTACCTATGGTGTCATAAATTAATTAACCATTAACGTTTTTCATTTCTAAAGCAAAAATTTTATTAGAATATAATATGATTTTGTATTAGGTCAATTTTTATTCCAACTTTCCATTATCTAATTTTCGACCGTATTTTCAGAGGCATTATGAAAAAAACAATAGAGAGCGCGACTATATACGCTTGGAGAAAATGTGGGCCAAGACGGGCCTTTGTTCGAACATTTGTGGATCTAGCGCGCTGCTGGTCGATATACTTCGCAATGAAACATTTATCAGTAGGGAGCATAAACCCCAAGAGTTTACAGTCGTATCTCCCGAAGTAGCTTAGAATTCGCGGCGAAGAACGGCGCGATGTTACGATATAAAATTCCGGAGAGATGGTTAAATATTTTACAGCTGCCCCGCAATCGATCTTTTGCACTCATACACCGGTGGCTGCAACAGTAGATTTATCTTCTTCATATTCCGACGATGACTCATCGAAAATTTTCCAATTTGTGATATTTCATCAAATAACATGTCTGTGAAAAAATTATGAATTGGACGTAAAATACTCATTCACTTTTTCACGTACCAAAATCGATTTCTTTGACATCAATTAACACGAAAATTATAATTAGTTTAAACAATCAAATTCTTATTCCAAAAGATCAGAATTTAATTAAACGAGGGGGAAAAATTAAGCAATTGATAAAATCTCGACAATTAAAAATGTCCTAATAAATACTAACACATATTTATGTAGAAATGAATTAATCCATTAAATCCAATTAATAATTTTTAAAAAATCAGATTTATAATAAATTAGATGGCCCAAATTTCTCGTGTATAGAACCCATTAATATATATAATTCATTTTTCCTTAATTTTGTCGTCCTTCTTTTAATTGATCATTGAGATTTTTGTTAAGCAATCTAGTATTTATTTCATAATGCACATTATAATAACACTTCCAACCATTTTATCAGTCATTCTAATATTATGGTGGCTATAAATTTTTACAGGCGTTTCACCAGAATCAAATTATACCCCAAGAATAAGATCATATTTCACGAATTCGCAACTTCTGTTTTGCCAGTTATGCGGAGAACATTTTTCACTTTGTATATGTCCTCCCATAACTCTTTATCTCACAACCACCCCTGTCTCTCCAATCACCTGTTATACTTTTCTTTCGTGCTGAGAGCATGCTCAGAAAGGATTTTCCTGTTTGTCGATGGATAATCATCATTTTCTTCGTCGTGAGGAGTGTTTTTGCGCAATTCGGTCGCTCCGATCGATTAAAAAATTTTAATCGATTTACTCGAGACCACTTTGAAAGCTTTAAGAAAGAATGCATCTCACGTTATCGAAGCAACAGGCGAGACTATTGACGTCAAGAGACAACAATATAACACGAATAGGTAATAAAATATGATTAAATATAAAGAGTGCATAAAAATATAAAATATAAATATAAATTGCATAAATATATAAAGAATATAAAAATATGATTTTAAAAGAACAAAAAAGTTTGTAGATTATTATTTAAGAATAAATATAATATATAATTGCACGTCTCTTTTTAATTAAAAATATTCCCATTTGCATTCGAGCATTATAAATATTGAAGAATAGAAATCAGTCCTCAAACGATATAGATGTAGCAATTAAAGGCGTGTTTATTATGCGAAGAATCTCGTTAGCGTAACCTCGAGGAAAATTCAAACGACACGAAGTAAAAGAAATTGCCGGTATCGAATTGCGTCTGACCTAGTGGCCTTTGCGACGTAGTAAAAGACAGAAGCTAAATTCGTGTTCTCTAGCATCTCATCCTCCCCTTTTAGTCTCAATGTCGACATATCGCCACGGATAATTACTGTACTTTATCAACTTTGCAATGTATCGTGGCGGAAACTGATATCTCATATCACTGACATATGACAGAATCCACCAAATGCGGGTAATACACGATTGCAAAATTACGTACGCACAAAATGATTTTCTTATAATTCCGAAAAGATCTAAATCATTGAATTTCTCAATTCTTTTTCCTAATCTTTCCTAATTTTTTGATTTTTTAATTTTAATTCTTAAAGACGTATTTTTGTAATTCTAACTCCTTAATTTTAATCTTTGATATATTTTAGTGGCGGGTTTAAAAATTGCAATCGGTAATAGAGTTAAGGAAAATTAGTAGCAAATTAAATTAATTGAATAATGTTAATTTATTCTTGACCGCGACCAGAACCCCGGTCGAAACTCGTAAGAGATACCCTTGAGAACCTACTGTCTTCGGAATGCATCCTGATAAGGTACGAGTATCGAGGATCGAACGATACTCTCAATCTCGCTTAATGCTGGAAAAACACTCGGTATAATTTAGCGAGGGTAGAATTGCGGCAACTGATAGTGGTAAGTGATGAACACTGGTAATGTGCTGCATCTACTTTTCTTAGGGGTGGGAGAAAACGCCCGCTCCTCGCGGGCGTTCGAGCTTTTATTAAATGGTGTCTTTGTTTCGGAACGGAGAACGAGAAATCGCCGCCTCGTCGAAAAAGTTCTCTTCTTCTGATAGGAAGTCACCTTGTCGGGTGACCGCTTCTTCGTCTTCAATATTTGTAATAGAGCACATAATTCTACATTGTTGGAACTAAGCATTTTGTAATGAAAAAATGCATTCTATCCCGTGATAATTTTATAAAATTAAGAAATTGCGTTGATATTTTACATTTATAATATAATCTAAGTATTTCTAAAAAATATCCGATGTGATGATTAGCGATTATGAACACAAGAAAGAGAAAAAGAGAGAAAAGAAAGTATGTAATAATTATTAGTAATTCATAATAACAAAATTATAAAATAAAATATACGACAATGTTTTATATCAATCTATAATTGAAATATATTATTAATGTAATTATAATTATACGATATTTAAAGCAAAATAATTTGCGAATATACTTTACAATTTATATTAATGAAATCATAATAAACTATATATTCTTATATAAATAATTATTTATATTATCTAATATTAATTTTTTTCGGATCAAATATTAACAAGTAGAACAAAGTAAATTGAGATAACATCTCAACCTTTTTCCATCTTTTCTCTTTTTTTTTTATGCACAAATTGCTGCATCTTATTTCTCAAATAAAAATTTAGTGTAAAAATAAAGAAACCTTGAACAGTTGTATCTCGTTTCTTGAAGATCTTGCAATTTTTGCGCGTACTCTTCAGTATCGGTGCTCGTATCATTCGCTCTAGTGACGTCACTTGCAGAAAATACATTCAAGGACCGGCACCACTCGCCGTTAAACGGGGTGAGCCAACACTTGTCTTCAACCCCATGAAAAGTTTTATCCGACCAATGGGAATCGCTGGTGCTGCCGTGCACCGCCCAATCACGGCAAGATCGTCATTGAGAAAGACGAGCACAAGCGGGGGAGGCCGAGATCTTAAGAGGACCTGTTAAGGATGGTACCGCCACACTCTGTTGCTCGCGTCCTGAAAGACAGTGAGTTGTCAGTGGATCACAAATCAAATCGTATATATCGCGCAAGATATTGAGAAATAAATTCCATTGATAAACGAAATTACTGAGGAGAAAAATTCTTTTGTTGTCACATTGTTTCGCAAATTTTTTTATCGTGAAAATTATCATGAGTGGATCAGGAAAGAGTCTCCTCGGGGTGTGGTTATACAGGAGAGGCGAGAGTTGGGCTGTCAAAGAAGGAAGTCCGCTACACAAATCGCGCAATGTATGTTATCATATATTTGACGAAATTAAAAAAGCAGATGATATAAAGAAATGATAAATTTTATTTGATCTTTAACGAGTCAATAATTTTAAAAATAGTCATATAGTTAATATTTATAATAAACTTTTTCTTGTTTAATTTATTCAAATAATCAATTTAATCTTATATTTTATCAAGAGCTTTTTAAACATCATAGAAGCAGAAGTGTCTTAAAATGAAATTTATACGATAATAAATGGAAAAGTTGAAAGTTGAATATCTTGATAAGTAGACGTACCCTTTCATTCATTTAGCTCCCCGTGGATGAGGGTAATCAAGCCAACGACAACAAGAATTCTGTGATATTTTCCCTGAAGAATCAAATCGGTGGCTTAGCGCGAGCGCTTCAAGTATTTCAGGTATGTTTCTGTATTTTTCGTTTTCCGTATATATGTTTACGTTAAAATTTGTATCATATTCTCTTCTCAAATCTTTTAATAAGTTATTCAGCGAATTTAAACGAATAATCGAAAGTTAGGCGATAAAAAAATGCAACAATTTGCAAAATTCGAATACTGCAAGCGTAATGTGAGCACTCTTGTTAAGATAGTTTTTTTAAGCAACTTTTACCATTAGATAAATAAAGATAAATAAATAAGATCAATTATAAAAATTTACCATTATAATTTTTAATATTTAAATTTAACATTTTTTTTTTTTTTAATTTAAAAATTATAATTTTCATCATCAATTATAAATTTACAACGCGATTAACGCATAGAGAGTCGCTTCCCAAATTCCGAGCGTAAAGTACCGCATATTGAAAAGCACATTTAGAAAATATGAGGGAAGACATATTTTTCTTTTCATCCATAAAGGATTTAGGTATAAACGTCGTGCATATCGAATCGAGAAAGTCTATGCGCCGCGGCTCCGAATACGACATCCTCGTGGATGTCGAGTGCGATCCGAGGAGGATGGAACAATTGATGAAATTGTTGAGCCGCGAAGTAGCGGCTATCAATCTTGCCCATTATGAGCAAATCGGAAGTATACCACGCGCACCTTCTCTCTCGGCCGCGACAAGCTTCGGTGAGTCTCCATTAATACGCAGTAAAAAATATCAATAAAATTTTTTATTTTTTTATTATAATGAGATATGGTTAAATGCAATGTCCTTGTAATATTTTTTATATGTATATGTTATTGTGTATCAATAAAACAATTGATGCAATAAAACTCTGATATGATAAAATGCAGTTTTTTAGTTATACTTTGTTCGAGATTAAGCGGAGAGCGTGGAATTAATTTGCGGAATTAATCGCGGTAATTGTCTTGGTGATCACACACGGCACGGCTAGGTCCGCACCAATTTTTAGAATCGAGCCTGTTATCACTGACAGCTCACGTCCAGAGTTGACGCCACTAGTTTTCAAACATGGGCCGCCATTAGCTGTCAACGGAAAAGCCGCGATGACAAGCTCCGTGTTTCCGAGCAAAAAATAAAAATTGATGTCCTTTTAGAAAGATCCACGAACAAATACGAGCCGTACAAACTAATCCGAAAATTTATCAAACTCTCGACAATCGGGATCTTTTTAGAAGGGCACGCTTTGATAAAAGGGCCGCGCAAAAGGAGCGAACCGCACTTTGAAGAAAATCTCAGACGTTTGTATATGTAATTACAGCTGCAAGAAAAGTATTAATTTAACTCGGTGAATTCATGTCGGAAAATAATATGATCGCTCCTTTCGCGCGCGAACCGCCGAATTTATCGCCGCCGGTGCCTTTTGTCGCCGCAAAAAAGGTCTTCTAAATATCTGTAAAATATTGTTCATATCGTTAACGTCTTTATTAAATTTTTATGTCGTTCGAAACCTGACTTTCTTCATCTTATCAGGCTCGTTCTATTTCGCGCTCTCTCTTTCTCTCTCTCACACATCCGCTTCGCTCTCGAACAGATTTGTATTTTAATCCTAATTGCAATAGTTTGCAACATTTTAAAATTAAAAACTATATTAGTTCAATAATTATCTAATAATTTAGTAATTTGTTAAATATTTGAACAGAGATAATTTTAAATTAAATAAAAATTTTAATTTAATTATTGAATAACTGGTTAAAAGTGCTCTCTCTTGTCATCATCATATATTTAATATGTCAATATGTTTATTACAATTAAAAGTAAAAGAATTTGATTGTTTTACAAAGACTAAACAATTTAAATTAAATATCACAATTTATTAAAAGTGCATTATTCTTATGGCAAAGGCTATATTTGAAAGTTCGATAAAATTTGTATCGAGATTTACTATACCACGTTTTTATTGTTTCTGTCTTCTCGGAGACATTTGATAATGGAATATCTTATCGCGCGTGCTAAGATGCAACAGAGTTTCGATTTTATAGATTTTAGTGAAGTCGACATGCCCTGGTTCCCGCGAAAGATATCGGACCTCGATCGTGCGCAGAAAGTTCTCATGTACGGCTCAGAATTGGACGCGGACCATCCCGTACGTTTTTTATATGATTTTATGCATGCGAGATGCTGTTACAGCAACTTCTTCTCGAGTTTATGCTCACTTTAACAAAACTACTCTGCAATTGCAGGGTTTCAAAGATCCCATATATCGTAAACGTCGCGAGGAGTTTGCCGACATTGCCTATAATTACAAGTAGTAAGTAAAGTAATAGTTTACGCGTAAGCGTTTTTTCTAATTAATAACGACATAATATTTTAGCGGTCAACCGATACCAAAGGTGCAATATAGGCCGGAAGAAATCAGAACTTGGTATGTTCTTTCACACAAAAATTATTTATATTTGCAACATTTTTTAAAAAAAAAAAAAAAAAAAATACGTTTCGCTTAATACACTCGTTTTAAACTGCCAAAAAAATGTGTTTTAATTTAGAGAAAAAAAGAGAAAAAATATGGTAAACTTAAGAAATTTGTATATAATTTTTAAAAATTAAATTTGTAATTTCTCAAATTAAAAATAAGTATATACACACAAAGAAATCCCGAAAAAACCTCTTTGCAAAGATATTAAAAATTATTTATAACATATCGTAAAAGAGAGAGTCGTGAATTAATTGACGTCACTATTCGAGACACAGGATACAACTTTTTCTCGTGAAACTACAAACGATACTGCAAACGTGTTTTCGCGTACATGAAGGCAATTAGTATGGATAAAAGAAATGATTTCTCGATACTTAAGTTATATACATACTCGTTCGATATCTTCGATCTCATCGTTCACTAAGAAAAGATAAAGTCTGTCTCTCTCTTCTCTCTCTCCCTCCCTCTCTATCTATCTATATATATCTATCTCTTCCTATGTCTCTTTGTAGCGCGAATCGAAATAAGATTGGCACGCTGAATGCACCCTTAATTGCGTCAATTTGATTTATCCTCGACACGGCATCGAGTAGCAACTCGGCTAATGCAATATCTCTGACTTGAATGCAACGATTTACGAAACAACCATTGCAACTTCAATAAACTTAATCAAAACGAGAGCTTTTCGGCAGAAGTCAAACATTTGAGTGATTTGATAACGATAATTAATTTATCTAACATGATTACAAAACATTATTTAAAATATGTCGTAATAAATGAAATACATATTCAACACATAATATCCCATACAGAACATTGCAGCAATATTTAACAAAAAAGATTAATTATTTAATCTTTATCTTAGGGGAACTGTTTTCCGTGAATTGCATCAACTCTACCAAAAATACGCGTGCAAAGAATATTTGGAAAATTGGCCGAAGTTAGTCAAATATTGCGGATACAGGTATATAACAAAAAGATAATTAACATAAAACTTATTCAAACATAAATTTGTTAAAAAATCTAATTATCCATTAAAAAAAAAATGTGCATATACATTATAATATTTTATATTTTATATAATAACGTGCTTGCAAGTATAATTTTATTTAAAAAATGTGTAAATATAGATATTGCGCGATTTACACACACAAGAAAGCTTCATTTAAAATATTTTTTAATCTTGTCGCTCTCTCTTAGAGAGAACAATATACCGCAACTGCAGGATGTGAACGTTTTTCTAAAGCGTGAGTATGAAAGATTGTTATATAATTATATTATCACGTTTTACGAGAACAAGAATGAAGCGTGTAAACAAAAATTGATATTTTATCTTAGGAACAACGGGATTTCAACTTCGTCCGGTCGCGGGTTATCTCACACCGCGAGATTTCCTTGCCGGACTTGCTTTTCGAGTGTTCCACTGCACCCAATACATTCGACACTCTTCCG